ACCTTCCACGCTTCGGCGAGGCACTCCTCTTCCTTGGACGCCCATTTGATGCGTGGCTCACCGGACTTGGCCTTATTCTTCTTCTTCTTCTTCTTCTTCTTCTTCTTCTTCTTCTTCTTCTTCTTCTTCTTCTTCTTGCCTTTCCTCGCCGGCGCTGGCTCCTCCTCCTCCTCCTCTTCCTTCTTCTCCATCTCTTCCTCACCGTAGTCGATCTCGTCGTCCATGTCGGCGAGGTCAATCGAGCCGTCCTGCGTAGTGAACCCGGGGGAAGCGGCGGCGGTGGCCGAGCCGGCTGCGATGATGTCCTCCATGTCGGCCTCCGTCGTGTCGGCGTCGCCGAGATGCGACGAGGATGAGGCTTGTGAGTAGAGGCCACGGCGAATAGGTGGCATCGGTGAGGCTGCGTAGTCCAGTGGCGAGTACGTGTACGGCGGGAACCGCACGCCGGGGAACGCGGGCAAGGGCGTGCGCTGGACTGGGCGCCCATGAGGGAAGGTGGTGTTGGGGTTGAAGCCACCATGGGCGTCCCCATTGGCATAGCTAGGCGAGGGCGTGCTCCATGGGTGCGGCGACGCCGAGAACCAGGCCGGAGAGCCGACGCTTTGCTAGCTCCAGGCCGCATGGTGCGGGTACCCACCGGGTGGGATTCATCATCACCGCCGTGCGCAACGCCTCCGCTTGTTCGGCCGCATGCTCCACCGTCGTCGCAGCCGCAGCGTGCGCCGCTTTTTCCTTGGCCTTCTTGGCCCTGTTGCGCCAATCGGCGGTGACGGCCTCCCGGCGCTCCACATCCGACTTCCACTCGGCGTTGCCCATGCCGGGGGGCTTGGACAGCGGCGCCCTCGACTTCCTTTGCTTCGGCTGGGCGGTGGTGGCGGCTGTGGGATCCATCACAGCGCGCGGCATCACGTACTTCTTCGGCAGCATGTCGGGCGGAAGGGGGAAGGAGGCGGGGGGTTTGGCGGGAGGAATGGAGAAGAGTGGGAAGCCTAGGGGGGAAGCGAGAGGAAAACGGCGGGAAAAGGGCTTCCTGTCGCTGACAGAGCGGCCCCACGCCGCTTTTCGCTTCAGCCGGCGCGCCCAGGAGACACCGGGCCGCTTGGGTTCGGGGCGGGATCGCCGGCTCTGGTTTTTGCCCAAACGGCGCTAAAGGAGATCCTGGGGGCACGACTAAGCCGATTTTCGGCCACCGGCGCTAAAAATTCGCCTGGGGGCGGGGGGCTGTTGGGGGCGCGGCTGGAGATGCTTTGAGCTGCTGAAGGAACACCTTTCCCGTTTGACCTCAGCAGCAGGCGCAAGTGTGCGAACACCAGGCAGCCATGGTCGGCGAGGCCATCCGCCATCGTCTCCGGTGTCGTGGGGGACATGGTCCGCAGGGCGATGTCCCTCCTCGCCGGGCAGCTCTTGGACCAGCAGCCAGAGCGAAGCGTCGAGGCCAAGCTGCGGAGGCTAAGAGCATCTCCAGCCGCGTCCCCAACAGGCCCTTCCCACGCGATTTTTTTTGCGCCGGCACCCAAAAATCGGCTCAGTCGCGTCCCAAGGAGCCTGTTTTTTGCCGGTTTGGGCCGAAATTGGTGCCGGCGTACTCAGGCCAAACCCGGCGTGCTGGGAGGCGCCCGGGGACGTCGGGGCGAGCGATTTTGGCGTGAACGCACTACGGGCCCGCCAAGTCAGCGACACTCGCCTCGTCGTCCTCACAACGCCTCGGTTTCCCGCGGGGAATCAATGGCAAGGCTGCCGCCGGTCAGCCTTCCATTGATTCCTCACAGGCGGCGTGGCGACGCCCCCCTCCCGCCACGCGTACACACGACATCCGGCTATAAAAGCAACGCCTCTCCCTTGCCTCTGGCCACACCAGCCCACAGCCCCTCCGCCGAGCTCTGTCTCCCTCCCCGCGCGCAGCCGCCGAGCTCTGTCTCTCTCCCCGCGCGCAGCTGCCGAGCTCTGCCTCTCTCCCCGTGCCCTCCTCCGAGACGATGGCCGAGCGATTCCCCGGCGATGGGGCGGCAGCAAACGGCTTCGGCCGCCGCTCTCTTCACGAGTGGGAGGCGTACTTGCTCTTCGAGGCGAACATCCCGGCACCTGCCGACATGCACGCCGGGCCAGGGGGTTGGAGGCTCAGCGCCGGCGGCGTCCCCATTCCCCAGGTGCCCGACGTCGACGCGCGCCACAACTACTTCGCCGACGAGGTCGACCGCGTGCGGGCATCACTGACGGACGAGCAGCGGGCCCTCCCGCAGTACACCGCCGGCAACCACGAGGCGTGGGCGGAGTACTTCCAGCACCGGCAGGCGCAACAGATCGCCTCCACCAACGAGGCGCCAGTGCTGAGGGGCAGCAAGAATAGCGAGGGGCGCCTCCTGTGGTGGGGCGCCCCGGCCGCTCGCTTCACGCCGTCCTCTGGCGCCTCGAGGGCGGCAATGACCCGCCCTTGACCTACCCTCCCGCCCCGACCCGGATCGGCGGCCAGTGGATGCCGAGGAGGATGGCGTCCTCTTCTTCCTTCACCTCCCGTTCCTCCTCGTCAGGGTCGCCGGTGCTGCTCAACGTCAAGGCCGAGCCCGCCGAGACGCCACTCGGCCGGCGAACACGCAGCGCCGACATCGTCATCAACGATGGCGGGCGCGCCTCCTCCTCGGCTTCTCCCCGCTTCGTCAGGCCGAACACAGAGTCCGGGCTCGCCACGGTGAAGACGGAGCCGGGGCTCGCCGCGGTGAAGACGGAGCCGGGCCTCTCCGAGGAGGCAGCTTGAAGTGGGCGCGCGAGGATTGGGCGCGAATGGAGCTAGAGCGCAAGTGTCGCGCCCTAGAACTGTACTCTGCTCGGCGTCCTGGCCGCGACGAGGGAGGGGTCGTCGTCTCGAGACGACGACGAAGACGCGCCGCCACCGGTCCACCAGGGCGACGGCAGGCAGGGGTCCAGCAGGGGCGGTCGCGTCAAGGAGGAGAAGGACAACGGCGATGGCGGCGACAGCGACGAGGACTTCGCCGCGCTCAACGCGTTCTTCCTGTAGTTTAGGCCTTTATTTTTTAAGTTTGCTAGGTAAAAACAGTTAAAATCGCCGAAGTTTATTTTTAGGTTTGTTATATTTCACCGAAGTTTATACCCGTTTGCGGAATTATAACCGAACGTATGTTAAAAGAAAAGTAAAAAATTTCTGGGTCCACCCTGGGGCCGGCGGCTGGGAACCCGACCGGCCCAAGCTGATTTTTTCGCCGGGTCGCCACCATCCGGCAGCGATTTTTCAAGCCCCTTTGGGCCAACGGCTGGAGATGCGCGCCCGATCGTCAGGGTCGAGAGCGCCGCGGAGGCCGACGGGGCGAGGCGGATCACGAGCCAGCCACGCGCTGCTCTCCTGGCTCGCGGAGATCGTCGATGGCGCGTACCGGGGGCGCTACCTCGACGCGTTCCCGGTCCCGAGCGGAGCAAGCGATCAGGACGACGGCCATGCTGGCAACAACAAGGTGGTGCCTCTGGCACGCTCTTTCTCCATGCCTAGCTCGTTCAACCCCGCTAAGCGCCTGCACGTCGCGGCCATGAAGCTGCTGCTCGGAGACGGCGGCGGCAGCGCCGACGAGCTGGACGGCGTCCTCGCGGACCTGAAAAGCATCGCCAGCGGTCTCGCAGAGTTCATCATGCTGCTGCAGATGTGCCCGCCGGCGCTGCACCGGCCGGTGGTCACGAGCATCTACGCGGACAGCCAGATGTTCGGACGGCACGTCGAGCGACGCCGAGTTTTGGAGTTCTTGCTGCAAGATGACGAGGGCGAGCCGTCGCTGGCAGAGCTAGGCGTCCTCCCTATAATCGGCTCCGCCGGCCTGGGGAAGACCACGCTCGTGCAGCACGTCTGCGAGGAGCCCGCGGTGCGCCGCCGCTTCTCGCTAGTCATGATGCTAGACTTCCATTGCATGAGCCTCATGGCAGCCGGCGAGACGGCGCTCTTCCTACGCTCTCTGTTCACGCCAAACGCAACCAGCCTCTCCGCCGACGGAGAGCAGATGAGGCTCCTAGAGCGGAAGCTGCGCGGCGAGAGGTTTCTGGCCGTCTTCGACAACGTCGACCCGCGCAAAAGGCAGGTGGTCGACGCGATCATGCCAACCCTGCGGCGCGCCGGCAGGCAAGGGAGCAAGGTCGTCGTAACCGGGCACGACACCGATCGTTCTGCGCCCCCTGCCGCCGGAGGAGTACTGGTTCTTCAGGGCGCACGCGTTCGGTGGCGCCGAGGCGGACCCTCGGCTGGCGGCGGTGGGCCAGGCCATCGCCAGGAGGCTGGGCCGCTCCTTCTTCGGCGGGAAGATAGTGGGCGCGCTCCTGAGGTCCCGTCCGGTCGCGCGGCTATGGCTTAGCGTCCTGGGCAGCAGCTTCAGCATCGCCGACGTGTGGTGCCTCGGCAACGAAGGCTGCGTCGCCGCCGCGGCCGGCAGCCACCTCCCGCGGCATGTGATCGTGCGCTGCGTCACCGTCTCTGGCTCGCCGATGAGAGGGCTCGTCGGAATCCAAGAGGCCTCTTTGGCTCTTCCTGCTCCTCCTTGTCCAGACGACGGCGGCAGCCGCAGCCCGGAGTTGCCTGTGCTGCTGTGCAAGTCTGTGTTCCCTGGCTAGTGGCTACTGCCTGTACTACACTGCCCATTGCACCATCGACAGATAGATCAGAAACGTTCGTACGGACAGTTCCAGTTGATAGTGCTGTTTTTTTTTTCTCGAATACACACGAGTGTGCGTATCATATACTGTATTATAGAAGGAAAGGGTAGAAACCCTCCACAGTTGATAGTGCTGTTGTGAAGGAAATCCTTGTGCTTTCTTCTCTTCTATACCTTCATCCAACTGGCTGAATGCTTTTTCGGAAGAACGAACAAACACATGGTTTGAAAAGAAAAAAATCAGAAAGAAATTTGAAGAAAAAAGTCCAGAAAAGAATCACTGTGGTTCTCTTCACTTGTAGAACAGGACAGGAGAGCTTCTATCTGCATTGGCATGTGATGATCATGAGACAATGATCACAGGACTTTGAGCAGCTGAACCTCAAACACCAGCGGTTCCTTGGCATGCGACAGCAGGCTCCGGCGTGGTCCAAACTGCGGTAGCAACCAAATAAAGCACAAGAATGATCACAAATCATCAGAAAACAAAAGGAGAAAGGTAAATATGTTGCTTCCGGAGTATAGATGTGAAAGAAACATGACAAGATTCAGATAAGCTCATGAGCTAGCTAGGCCGTACCTCCTCCGGTACGGGCTGCAAGCTCTCGTCGATATAGCCTACTTCAGGGGATATCAGAGCCCTCCTCTTGCCTGCAAAGCCACGGAGAAATAAAAGTTTCTAGTGGCTAAACCAAGAAAACTGTCAGAAAATGCCTGAAACTGTACAGCACCTCCGGCTTTCATGCCGACTATGACGTCTTTGAGGCCCCGAATCATCTACAAGAAAAATGATTCATCTGTCAAGAGAAGCCATAAGGATGTGAAATTGCTATGGGAAACCTTTAAATCATCTGCAGAAAGGTCAATTGCCAAGAGAAATCCTGTCCTGGAACCTCTTGCACGTCGAGTCGAAGTGTCACCGGCTTACTCTCGCCGCTGAACTGATTCACCGTGCTGCATCAGAGAAAACAGACAGGCAAAAGCATAATGAGAGTCAAAGAAGAGCAGTATTGGTAGTACTGAAAATGCAACACATATATGCACTTTACAAGCTAGTACTAGTACTATATGAACAACACAATCAAGGATTCAGTCAATGGCAATATTCTCTTGACCTATGCACGAAATAACCATTTGCACGGCGGCACACGTAGTTGAATTGCACTAAATCGCCTTCCCGAGCCTCCGGCCCTTCGCCATCGACTACATCTTCAGATCAAGAAACAGAGTTCTTCCATTTATAAGATCTCATCTCAGCAACTGGAGTATTTGTGTAAAAAGATCCCACTAATGGCAAGTACCTTCAAGCTTTACTCCACTGTCCAGCTTTCTGTACCTGAACACTTCAAACATAAATCAACCAGTATGCATACTATAAAATATAAGATACATAATGTAAGAATTTCACAAGAATCAGTTCATTTCACACAAACATAATTAGTCCATCTATTCTGATATGTGGAAACGACTCGTCCCTCGCGTTGTCCCTGCCCAGGGTGACTCAGGGTTCCCCCTCAAACCCTAGGTGCTGCCGCCCCCAACCCTTAGGACATACTAAACGATATTTTGAGCAGTGATGATATGACTTCCAACACATAATTTTGACAGTCATTGTTGTGTATATAATACTCCCTCCGTTAAAATAGATGACTCAACTTTGTACTAAGTTTATACTACCATTTTAACCCAACCATTTATTCCAAGAAACCAATCTGAATACCCTTGTGTGCAGTATGAGCCAGATTTACACTGCACTGTTTCTAATAAGCCATTTATATTTAGTAAGAGGGCGGTAGTGGTTCATAACCAGGCAACACGCAGTACCTGATGACATCGGGCTCCAGCATTGCTGCCTGCACCGGCATGGGCACGCCGAGGAGATTCGCGCAAGAGGCAGCGGCGCCAAGAAGAGCCAGCCCTGAAACAGCTCTCCTCCCGGACACCCCGCACACTGCTCTGAATCCGCGGCATGTCGACCTGGTCGCCTTCGGTTCCAGTGGATGCGAGCGTCTGATTGGATTGGAAACGCCCAAGAACGAGGTCAGTTTGAGTCTTTGAGATGAGATTCCCATAGAGAGAGAGGATCAAAACTGTTTGGAGGGAGAGAGAGAGGATTTGTTCGTGTTATGCGTTAGTACCTGGGACTAGGAGACGGAGAGGCGCACGGGAATGGATTGGGGAATTTTACGTGCGGTGCAGACTCCATTGTAAAGGTCAGGATAAGGCAGTGTCGCAGTGGACAAAGGCAAGTGCTTATCTGACTGCGGATAGAACTGAGAACCGCTCATAGAGACTAGAAAAAATGAAACACCAAATAAAGCAATTATGATCAGATGGCCGAGTTGGTCTAAGGCGCCAGATTAAGGCTCTGGTCCGAAAGGGCGTGGGTTCAAATCCCACTCTGGTCAATTATTTTTATTTCTCTGGGTGATTGTATCCATTTTCAAGAAGGTTTAGAACTTTTTACTAATCCTACAACATTCCTAGATTTCTCTTCTGAAAAGATATGAAAAACATATCAAAGATTTTTTTTCACTCATCTAACGCCTTGGCGAATTTATATTTCTCTTGGTGATTGTATCCATTTTCAATAAGGTCTTTTTAGTTAGAACTATTTATTAGTCCCAACATTCCTAGATTTCGCTTCTAAAAAGTATGAAAATCCTTTTCTTTCTCCTTGGTAGTATCGTCCTAAAAACGCAAGAATGATAATTTTTTTCTATAACTTTTTTCATTGATCTGACACCTTGGTGATTACAATCAATTTCTCTTCTCAAAAGATCTTAAAAGGGTTTTCTTTCTCCTTGCTACCATCATTTTATAAAAACATAAC